CTTAGAATTATAAAATCATATTTTTATTGACAAAAAAGTTTCTTTTAAATTTACACTAACATTTATTAATTACATTTACAAAATAATTTCGAATTGTAAAATTATATACATTTACAAAATAGCAAATAAATTTTGTTCCATTTTCGAACTGTATTCTCAAACATTTCTCATATGGTGCTTGCATGTTTATGCGGCACATTATCGAGAGTATATTTTCTATCATTGAGTTTCATTTCTATGATACAATATACTAATTCAACTTTCTTCTTTATTACGTATCGAGTAAATTAATGATATTGGTCATTCTGGTGGAATCGTTAAAGTGATTGACTCCACAGAAATGATTATAATCATATTGATGACTTACTATTTTGCTATAGCGAAATCTGTATTAATTTGCAGTAGATAAATCATTTCTTTTTAATAATAATTGGATTTATTATTTCATGAATTTCTTGTTTACTTGGATTTCTTTAATATGACTGGTTAGTTGATTAAAATTATTGTTTTATTTTGTCAAAAACAACCAGTGATATAATCTTCCTCGCCATGTGTGTTCCGGCATAGAATGGACCACCCCTTCCTTTTCCGTGGATGTCGTAAGAATTAACTAAGGGAGGGCGAGGGATGGGCAGCAGCGTCCCTTTTAAAACATCTCTAAAAGCCTAACTGCGGTTGCCAACCCGTCTGCCAAGCGTGGTAACTACTGGCAAAACTCCCCTTATGGGGAAGGCTTACGTCCAGCAATGGACAGTGAATGGCTGAAATAATAATAAAAATGATCTTCCTCAAAATTATTTCTAATCACTAAATTTCCTTCAAAATACATAATATTCTGTGCATGTTTTAAAAGGAGTTATTAGTATTAGTTATATACGAGGAAGTTATTTCTTATTTGAAAATTGTATTACAAATGTAAACCTTAAGTGATTTTAATTTAGTAAAACTTTTATAAGTTAAAAGTTTTTAATTTAACCAGACCATCCCATTCCATATTGTAATTTGATAATGAACATGAAAACATATGTGAAATGGCGCGAAATCGAAAGAAGTTTCTAAAATAATAAACGTGTTCCAAATTCAAAATATTTAAAAAGTTGAAAAATAAGAAAAGTTTTTATGTAGCAATATTTATGACCAGACTAGTTATAAAAAAAATTTTGCATATTTTTTCTAAATGGAAATTAGGTAATTGTCAACTGTCAAATAAGTTATAATAATGTTAATAAAAATACAAGATACCTTAGTTGTGATAATTATCACAGATTTTTTATCATATTCATATGCGGACAGACAGATTTATTTTTTATAGTAAACATTCATGCACGATTGTGTTTCTATTGGCCTTGCGAGTTCGTGAGATATAGTGACGGGTGATCAGACATACTGACAGATTGATTATTATGTAGACAGCCCGGTCGTAGTTACAATATTATGTTAGTACAATTACTTAAGATAATAAGAGCTCGAAATGGACTTAAACGCTTGTTACATTTGATTTATGGATCGTAGGTTCTATACTGTGGATTAAATTAAATAATTATGGCTATTGACTTATTTCATCTTAGATTATGATTTTATTCTATAAAAAAAAATAATACTATCCATGTCCTGCGGCTTCACCCGCATGAATATATATATATATATATATATATATATATATATATATATATATATATATATATATATATATATATATATATATATATATATATATATATATATATATATATATATATATATAACTATGTTCAAATGTTTTTTTTTGAAAAATGGAATGGTAACTCCGCCTGTGCTATCTATACACGTTGACGGGATACCAGTGAGAGATGATAGGTGAAAATGAAAGCAAGTAAATAAATTCATCATGACGAATTCGTTTCCAGTAGGAACCGCGTGGATGTCGACCTAATAGCTAATTGCTAATAATTGTATTATATTGTAAAATCTTTATTGTACATAATTTACTAATAATTTAATGGGTCTGTTAAACCCTATTACTAACAATATCTGTTCCCCTTCTAAGTTAAGACATGGCCTATCCGTATACTAAATTTAATTCAAATCTGTTCAGTGTTTTTTGCCAGAAAGATTAACAAATATCCATCTTTATAAACTTTCGTTTTTATAATATTAGTAAAATGAATAAAACGATGGGAGAAAGAGATAGCAATACGATTAGTTCCATTGACTGAGTCGCTACGATACCGTTTCGATTATTACAATCGAGTAATCAGAAATAGGTTCTAAGTTTATAATTTAAATCCCTTATTCATAAAAACTAAGACTTAAGAGTCACTTTCTTTTAAATAAGGAATTTAGTACTAAAGAAAGAGACAAAACATTTCAATAGCTGAAAACGGGTTTATGTAAGTTTGATATTTTTATATAGAAACGGGTAAACCTGCATTAACGCATCTATCATATATTTATTAGAGTTTTTTGCCAAACTTATTAATACAATAATTTGTCACGAGACTTAGATTAGATTAGATTAGATTAGATTTCTTTATTTGCGAGAACATTGTTTTTTACAGATATTGATCTATTAGGTGAAGTACAAATGTTCGCCTTATATTCTAAAGCATGCAAATTATTAATAGGTACAAGATGCATCACATTTAATACATACATATATGTGCTAATTACAATTTATCACTATAACAAGTACGTCCGTTGTATAACCGATTCGAGTTCTATACGATACGAACTCGATTTTTGTGGTGAAAGTATTGTATACAGGTGTTACAAGTTACGAGATCCGATATCTCGATTCAATGGGATAGAACATGCAATCGATACCTTATTTATGTGGGCCAATTGACATGTAAGAATCGATTCTAGTTATAACGAATACAATGGCAATGTTTATTTTTCATTTCATTGTTACCGATTGTAAAGGTCTTTGCTCTAATATTTTTTTTTCTTTGATTGTAAAACCTGATATTTACAATAAGTTAATATTTTTTTAATATAACTTAGAATGGCAAACAAGCTGACGGCCCACCTGATGGAAAGTGGTAACCGTCGCCTATAGACATGAGCAGTACCATGGACAAAACAGAGTATACTGTTTCGCCCATAATACCCCCCATGCATTGCCATTCCTGAGGACTCAGATTATTCCTCTGTACCCTATAAATTCACGCCATATCCCACCCATCAAACCGAAACACAGCCATGCAAACACAACTGCTTCACGGTAAAAACACGAATGGGACAGAGGTACCCAAGCAATCGACTTTTGTACAAAGTCTCCCTCTGGTGGAATATAAATTATGTGTTAGATATTAACACTAAATAAGTCTGCTACTTTATGGAGGCCTATGTTTAGTAGTGGAGAGTTAACGTTATGGTGATGATGATGATGATGATGATGATGACTCATGATTAAGTGAATAATAATATTATTATTAATGTGTTGAGCCCTAGAAATATATTACCCCGTCCAAAAAAATTACAAAATCGTAATATCGAATTTATTCGTTACTCAAATTTTATGTTATTTTAAATTTCCGACTAACTCTTCGGCGATGGTAAACACTAGACAAATTCTATTAATCCTAATGACAATGCTTCGTGCCATAATAGGCAATATATGGGCATGACTTTCAACAAACTAAACCATTTGTCTATGAAGTTCGTTAAATTTTTATATATCCGGAAATCGATCTCAAGACCTCAAACCGGTATAACCACAAACCAATTCTTACTGGTACATATTTATTTATTTATGAACCTCTTTATTGCACCAGAAATATAAAAATATACAATGACAATTTAATAGTCGTAGTGAAATACAATAACATATCGCTGTGTGTGCTCTGGCATAGAATGAGCCACCCTTTCCCATGGGTGTCGTAAGAGGCGATTAAGGGAGGGCGAAGGATGGACAATAGCGTCCCTCTTAAAACATCTCCAAAGCCTAACTGCGGTTTTTTAAAGGCAGAAATAGAAGTAAGCCATTATTCATGCAGACAGCTTTTGTAGTTTCCCTCTGATTGGTACCTACATTTAATGGTCTTTATGACATCCTGAGAATGAGAAGGAGCAGTGAACTATGCATCTTATTTCCATAGATACAATCATCACACGAACATAAAAATGTTGACTATATCACAGAACTCCCATGTGGTTCCGGCATAGAATGGCCAGCCCTTCCTTTCCCGTGGGTGTCGTAAAAGACAAGGCAAGGGATAGGCAGCACCGTCCCTCTTAAAATATCTCCAAAGCCTAATTGCGGTTACCAATCCGCCTGCCAAGCATGGCAACTACTGGCAAAACCCTCCAAGGGGGAGGCTTATGTCCAGCAGTGGACAGTTAAAGGCTGATATGATGATAACTAGAATCTAATTATTTTGTAAAACCTCCTACCAAACTGTTTATAACTACTCCTCTCCATCTGAAGGTTTACTGGAAGAGATCGCTTTTAGCGATAAGGCCGCATATTGTTTTCTCAATGTGAACATTTTTTGAATTTTTTTGTATATATTTATAACTAGCTGTTATCCGCGTATCTGTCGTTTTTCGTAAAATAAGTAGACGATGTCCTTCCTCACGGTTCAGTGGTTTTGATGTAACAGACACATTTCCATTCACTGCTCTGTTCCTATTGATCGTGGCGTGATGAATAGTATACTATAACATGCCCAGGAGTATGAAGAATTATTGTACAAAGTTTCATTAAAATCCGTCGAGTAGTTTTTGTTTCTATAACGAACATACAGACAGACATACAAAAATTTTACTGATTGCATTTTTGGTATCAGTATCGATCACTAATCACCCTCTGATGGTTATTTTGGAAATATATTTCATGTACAGAATTCACCTCTCTACAGATTTATTATAAGTATAGATATAGATAAGTTTACTACTCTAATCTTTTGGAGGAAACAACAAAGAGTGTCTATCTATGTGTCTAATTATTTTGTATGAAACACCATTCATTGGGTTAGCTTGATAACTGATATTAATTAGATTGTTTTTGTTTTTCATAGATATACTAAATACAAGACCGGTGTAGAATACTCAAGGGGGTGTGACCTACAAACAAGCCTTGCCTTCAATTTAGCTGGTCTCCATAAATTATCGCACCATTCAAGGAGGTAAGAAAGCTTTATAACATTACTAGCTGTATACCGCGGCTTCGCTCGCGTGAATCAATGTACAAAGCATCCTATGTGTTATATTATGATGTAATCTATCCATGTAATTTAAAATTGCATTCGAATCTGTTCAGAATTTTTCGCGTAAATAATTTAAGACTATCTATTAAACCGATTTTGATGAAAATCTGATTTTAACCGAATTAAGAACTTTGTTCCTTTTGAAGTCAGTTAAAAAATACATGTATACTGTAACACCCTTCATTCGTTATCATTCCTGAGGTCTATATATTTCTTATGTCTTCATACCTTATAATAGAGATTAATTCTTCGTACCTTATTTTTTTTATACAACTTAGAATGGCAAACAAGCTGATAGCCCACCTGATGAAAAGTGGTAACCGTCGCCTATAGACATGAGCAATACCATGAACATAATAAAGTATACTGTTTCGCCTATGATACCCCCCATGCGTTACCATTCCTAAGGACTCAGATAATATTCCTCTGTACCCTGTAAATTCACGCCATATCCCACCCTACAAACCGAAACACAGCCATGCAAACACAACTGCTTTACGGTAGAAATACGAATGGCACAGAGGTACCCAAGCAATCGACTTTTGTACAGTCTACTGGATAATAGATGTTAATCGTTTGTATTTTTAGTAATAAACTTAACTTTAATACAAACGATTACAAGAAAAGATTACACTATTATTATTATTAGGGTAGGAATATTGTACTACAATATTCAAACCTTAAAACCGAAATACGCATACAAGCAAATACCCTTATTTTCACAGAATAGAATTACTTTGGTGGCAAAAACACATACGTACGTGGGACATAAGTGCCCATGCAGACATTTGTCTCTTTATGGTAAATTAATTAATCAATAACTTTCGTTTTAATTTTAACATGAGTTTCAAACACTTATGGCTTAACATATAGCCATAGATATGACCAATTTTATATAAGCACCTATTAATATCAAATTTTATACATTAAGCTAGACATTTTTATGATTCTGTCAGAGTTATTGAAGTGATATATAAATAGCAATTTATTTGAGGATTATACTTAAAGTCAGCTGCTAAACCTCATCATATTTTTTTTGTATTTAAAGTAAAATATATCTTCTGTTAATAATATTAGAGTTTAGTTTAGTATTCAGCGACACTTGCTTGCCCTTTCTCGGCGTAGGCGCATTATTCTATTATATATTATTTATTTCCTGATGACTAACGAACCGGAAGCACCGTCTACCTGCGCTCGAGCATAACAAATGACTTACATCGGCAGGTATTAACCGCCTAAAATATCTTGGTCCGAGAAACATCTGGTATAGGCAACTCGAATCAATAATAACTGAAAATTAAAGTCTCATCTTTTTTCAGTTTTGACAATAAGTCTATCTTATTTATTACCTATTTTAAATTGATTATTCGTTTATATATATATATATATATATATATATATATATATATATATATATATATATATATATATATATATATAACGATATATATATATATAACAGCCTAAATAATCAATAAAAAAAAAAAAATATTTTTTTCCACTAAAATATGCAGTAATAATAACAATGTAAGCAAAAGTGAATGTATCTCTTATTAAAAGAGGTCTCCTCCAATCAATCTAACACAGCGGTATAGGATCTAGTGATTTATGTGAGCATTACACTATAAAAATCATATTTAAATTGTATTAAATTATGTTTTAATCAATAAAACACAAATATTGGTTATTCCAGATCTTAGTTGTGTACCGACTTTGATGCAAAACTGTTTAACTTATTACGCATGCATGAATGGGCAACATTATGGAATTATTCAGGAATGCCATTCCTGTTTTATAGACATAGAAGATACCATGGGTATCATACTGTATTCTGTGTGATACATTGTAATGGTCCCGTCTATAAGGCATAGCTAACTTTGTATCAAATATATCATCTAAGTATTTGTTAATCCAAGTTGCATAAAAAGTTTACAGTTTACCATCTTATTTTAATCGTATTATAAAAAAGGTAAAATTGTACAGGGTCGTTATGTTGAATGATTTTTTTTTTAATTGGAAGCTATGTTGTTTGTCACTTACGTGTATTCTAATAATGTATCATTTATATTCTTCGATTGTTTAATATAATCGACATTCTTCGAAACCGCTCGCTGCTCATCCGATATTAATGAAATTTTATCCGATCTTATAATATATAATCGTAGAGAGACTTCGTATAAAAGTCGTCAGCTTGGGTACCATTGTCCCATTCGTGTTTCTGTCATGTAGCAGTTGCGTTTGTATTTTATTTTAAAAGGTGAATTATAGCAATGAAATTAAGGAGACAGCGGTATAAAACCTTAGTTTGGAAGGAAAGGGATTGTTAGTAATGAGGTTTAAAATTCCCAGTTGCTAGCAATATACACTGACAGGTTTGCCTCCACGTGGTTCCATCTGGAAACGTGATTAATTATTGTTAAATTCGTTACGATGGACCACCTGATCTGTCTTCATCATCACCTATCATCACTTATTGATACCTCGTCAGCATATAGCAAATGCGCCAGCGTGGTTAGCATTCAATTTGCGTAAAAAAAAACACTGCCATTCCTGAAGACAAACGTCTTTAGGAATGGCAAAACATGAAGGTTATCATGGGCGACACAGTATACTTTGTTATATTCACGGTGTTATACATGTCTATAGACGACGGTTACCACTTTCCATCAGGTGGATCGTTAGCTTTTCCATCATTCTAAATTGCATATATATAAAAAAAAACTATATTGTTTATTCCAACTTAAAGATAATAATAATAAGAGAAAAATTGCACCCGCTAAATTGCAATAGGGGCAAAATAACATTTGTCAAGTCAGTAAGTGTGATTATAAATCGAATTTTGTTCTGGGCATAATTAGAAGACGCTCTAAAGGCCTGATTTAAGATTCTGTTATCTTTTACTTTTAAAAAGAAACCGGATCGAAAGTAGGTACTGCAGTGTGTACATACACTTAAACACACCTTATCTCTTGCATAAGGGCGTGTCCACTTGACTTTGTCTTCAGAACTGAAGATGGGATAAAGTAAAAACTTTCGCGTGCTATTGATTATTTTATTGGCATTATTTTCATATTTAATTTCTATGTTTAAATTATTTTTATTTTTTTTTCCATAGGAATATAGCCTTCCTTTTATTCTATATCAATTCAAATAGAGGACAAAAAAATGTCATATGTGTTTGACGTACCTAACTACTTATCAACTATTTTCAAAAAGAAGGGTTTTACAAAATTGTATAGATTTTTTATGTAAAATAAGTCACGTTATTTTTCATATTCACAATTACTGAATCCATTTTGAGAATTCTTATTTTGATCAAAACAGTTTATTGCCCAATCGTTTGTTATATAAATAAAATTTTATAAAGTATCATGGGCGACACAGTATCTATACTTTTTTCAGTCTTGTATGTCCATGGTACTGTTCATGTCTATAGATGACGGTAACCAATGTGGTTACTTTCGAAAGAAGAGCCATCAGTTTATTTGCCATTCAAAATTGCATAAAACCACCGATAATACACCGATAGCGCGGGTTACCATTTCATTATCATCCGTTAAAAAAAAAATCAGACAGACGCCGCTAGTATTCTGCCACTTGAGTCAAACGACATGCAAGTCGGTCAGTGTTGATGAAAGCCGGCGCGTGATTCGCTTGTTAATGACTGACTTGTCAATGGACGCGTACTTTCAAGTTACAGAGTAGATACTTAGCTAAACTATAACTGGCAAACCATGGATATAGTTTAAATAGATGTCGCAATTGCGTGTTGTTACATTTTGTTACATAAAGAAGCGACTTTACACGAGAAACGCTAAACGATACGTTAACCTTAACATGTGGATTTTGTAACAAAACTATTTTGATTTAAAAAGTAAACTACTGAATTAATTTTGATAATTTTTTTATGGAACCAATCTGAAAGTATATTTTTTCGGATAAAATAAGATTTTTTTTGAAGTCGGTTGAAAAGAATCAAGAAGAAATCATTTAAAAAGATTTAATCCCAAAATTCTTAAGAATTTAAAAAATACACTTGGATAACCTTTTTTCTTTTTTTTCTCATTCATTCATATTTAAGTGTCACGCTCTTGTTAATGGAACTCTTGTACTCAGTGTAATTTTCAACGAGTCTTTTCAACTCTTGATACAAAACCGAATTTTCCTTGATCTGCCTGATGTAACTGTATCTGTGTGCTCGAATAACCTTAACCTGCTTTCATACAGGAGAAACTATATGCATTTTATGAGATACTTATAAAAGTATATTAAATAGTAAATAATAATAAATAAGTACCATCTATCTATCTATCAAGATCCTCAAGCTAATCTGTCAAGTTTGCTTCCTTGGATATCAAGTTTTGTGAATAAGGCGCCAACGAATATTTGGTCATATCTATCAATTGTAATTCCAGCTTCAGATTCACAATAAAAATTTCATTTAATTTTGGACTAGATGGCGTTATATAGTGTTTCTTGTGGTATTCTAATTAGTATGGAAATAAATTTTTAACAATCCACGTCGATGCGTCGACAATAAAGAAACAGATATGTAGATAGGTTACCTGCAAACATTTTTCATCGCTTAATGCGATTCCCTACAGTGTATTTCAAATATTATAATATGGAAATTATTCAAAATTTCTAGCTGCTCTGATTTTTTAAGTCCTAATTTAGTTGAAATAACATTTACAGAGGTGCCCTCTAGTAGACTCTAAGTAAAATTTACTACTATTTAGATTTCAATATCAACTCATGACATAACATGGTGAATATTAGCGAAAAAAAACAAACATACATAGAGAAAGCGTTTTACTGCCGGATTTGAAATTAAGGTCCTACCTACATACTTTTTTTTTATGGGCATAATACTTTGTTACTTAATTGCTTAAGTAAAAGTTTTTATGTACAGTCCCATA